TACAGATATGCACATGTTGCTTTTTATGTACAAGATCATCAGGTGTAGTATTCAACACTTAACTTTCCTTTTGTCCCTTTTCAAAATATGACTCCATTCCATCAGATATTTTTGATAGTCTACTTTTAATGCTGGATCCTTATGAGCCTCCCAGTACTTTCATTTTTGCAACGGTGGCAGCTATATTGGTTTCCAGCTCCAGTTGCTCCCACTGTCTCCTTAACAGTGCCTCATGCTTCTCCAAGGCATGTTTATCCTTAAGCAGTTTTTGTCTTCCAATCAGTGCAGCTGCTAAAGCGTTAGCCATTACCCGTGCTGATGTTGTACTTGAGACTCTGGAGTTTGAGCCTGAAGAACTTCCTCTAATACTCTCCCTTCCTATGTTTGAAACGCTGTCACCTGGTTGTATTTTGTCTTGTTAATTCAAACTGCTTTGGGGATTTTGAGATGTTATGTTGAGCGTTTCTGAAAGTAACCATCTCCGTTGATGAAACAATCTTAGCAGAAACAGGCACATCTGAAGTAGCAGCAGTGGGCATATTCTAAGCTTCATTGCCTTTTTCCATAAAAGGTCTTCCAGTTTCAAGAAGCCACTGTTTTACATCTTCAACAAATTCATCATTACATTTTGTTATGCATCCAAACCAGTCAAAATTAGTGTCTTATGCATCTTTAGGAATCAATAAAACAAATGCATAATTAACTACGTTTTTCCAAGTTCAGCTGCACAGCTTTTGCATTGCCATAGTTTTACTCAAATTCTTTAATATCACGTGTTAACGTGAGATTTTCGCTCTTTCTGTAAAGTTTCCATTTTATGAGCAAGTGCTTTAAGCCGTCAGTCTTGCAGATCTTGTTTCTTCCAGTTCATGTTCGGCTTCTTTTATTTCACTCATTGTCACTTTCTCACATGCATCAAACACAGCATTACATGTCACACAGCCTGAAATACGGACCACAGGTGATGCTTTTCTTCCGTGCAAACCAATGCGCAGTATCCACAGCCTCACAAGCTGTCAAAATCAGAGCAGCTTCCTCCAGCTTGTTAAGTCAAGCGCACGTACGCAACGCAAACCAAACCAATGTTCCTAATGGACAAAGGGTGACAGAAGCTGTGTTGGAAACATTCAATAATACACAGAGTGAATCCGCGTGTCCTACCGCTCTTGATGTGTGCGTTGCGTTCCTCCGTGCCACTGTGGCGGAGCAGCTTCTAATAACTCCTTTGAGAACAACATCCGACCATGTGAAAGCTTCGTCACTCCAAAGCGTGTATCCACAAATCCTCTTCATTGTTCTGATGCATGCGAAAAAACAACGACTTTTCTGTTGACTAAATGTTGCGACTTCCATCCACAAATAAAGCCGTGGCCGGCTGAGTTGGGGTTTGTACTATGACGCGTCTCCAATGAACCATACTGAGTCCCACTTGTGTTTTACATATTTATTTTGAAATAATAATAAATAAATAAAAACCTTTCGCTTTCAAATAAAAAAATAGCGCATTTATCGTTTGATAGTACTGAAAGGCAACGGTCACCATAAACGTTTGCCAAAAAACAGTCACCCAACCTCTCTGAGGCAAGCGCCAGGTAAATAACATGCGACCACACCCCCATGCAATCACCTGAGGTGCAGGAAAATCTAAACACCTGTGCCACCATAACAAATAAATAAAACATAAACATTGACTTTGGCTCTTAAAACAATGTCAGGTATTCATCCTAGAAAGTCCACAGTTTTTTGGTTTTTTTTATTTTGCAGTTGAAAAAAAAAGTACTTGGCTGGTAAGACAAAATGTGATGTATTATGGGATGCACCTAGACAAACTGTTACTTTTTTTTTTTTTCTTAAAAAAAAAAAAAAGAAAGTAGACCCACTTTCAGTTCTATTATTTTACCTATCAGGACTTATTAATAATAAGTAGATCTTAAAATTAGTAAATCCAACCTGAATTACAACACATTATGTATCTTACATCTGTCATTAATTATTCAACAAAAATTAAGCCAAAGCATTGTGTGAAAAACTAAGCACACCTAAGAGTGTAAGTCAGGGGTGTCCAACTCCAGGCCTCAAGGGCCGGTGTCCTGCAGGTTTTAGATATCACCCTGGGTCAACACACCTGCATCAAATGATTAGTTCTCTGGAGAACTTCAAGACATGTTGAGGAGGTAATTTGGCCATTTAAATCAGCTGTGTTGGATTAAGGACACATCTGAAACCTGCAGGACACTGGCCCTTGAGGCCTGGAGTTTGCCACTCCTGATGTAAGTCAAATGCACCTGATTCATTAATCATCAGCAAGTGTGACTCCCTCTATAAAAGCAGGTATGGAGCATTCAAGTGAATGTTAACAGAATCCCAGAAAATTCACCTAAAGGTCAGGCTGTGCAAAGCTCAGAGAAACTCCTACACACTCAAGAGCTTCATCTCAGACTCTGTAGGTTTCAACATGTTAAACATTAAAGTTCATGAAAGTGGCATTGGACAAAAGACTGAACAAATATGGAAATGTTACAAAGGGTTACCATGAGAAAGCCTCTTTCCTCTACATAGAACATGACCAGAGATGGGCAGTAACGCGTTACTGTGATCCGATTACTTTTTTCAAGTAACGAGTAAAGTAAGGGATTACTATTGCAAAAACGGTAATTAGATTACCGTTACTTTCATTTGTAATGACCATGAAGAATACAATATGGATGTTGTGGCAAATAGTGTCAATGAATTCTTTGCAACTACTGGACCAAATTTAGCAAGAACAATCACTCATCCTGGGAAAGCACAGGAAAAACCGGATACACTGATAGACAGAAATCCATATTCTATGTTTCTCACAGCCGTTGATGAAAATGAAGTTTTTGAAATTGTCAAAAAATGTAAAAATCAGAAATCTTTGGATTGTAATGATATTGATATGATAGTGGTTAAAAGAGTCATTGAGGCTATTATAAAACCATTTACATACATCTGTAATTTATCATTTCAAACTGGTCGATTTTCCAGACAGAATGAAAATAGCAAAAGTTATACCTCTATACAAATCTGGAAACAAACACCATTTCACAAACTACAGGCCTGTCTCTTTACTACCTCAATTCTCAAAGGTTCTTGAAAAACTGTTTAAAAACAGACTGGAAAAATTTATAGATAAACATAAACAACTCACTGAGAGTCAGTACGGATTCAGATCAAGCAGATCAACATCATTGGCACTATTAGATTCAATAGAATACATCACAAATTCCATAGACAAAAAGCAATATGTGGCTGGGTTATTCATAGACTTGACAAAGGCATTTGACACTATAGATCATGATATATTAATAAGAAAACTGGAACGTTATGGTGTCAGAGGGGTAGTTTTAGATTGGGTCCAGAGTTATTTAAGTGACAGAAAGCAGTTTGTGAAAATAAATGGTGGTTGCTCCTTATGTATGGACATTGCTTGTGGTGTACCCCAAGGGTCAGTTTTGGGTCCAAAATTCTTCAACTTGTACATTAACGACATCTGTAAAGTGTCCAAAGTATTAAAAATGGTTCTCTTTGCTGACGATACAGACATTTTTTGCTCTGGTGATGATCTGCAGAATTTATTGGAGGATATGACTAATGAAATAAGTAAAGTGAAGTTCTGGCTTGATAAAAATAAATTATCATTAAATTTGAATAAATCTAAACGTATGCTATTTGGAAATAGTAGTTTAAATACAAATGCAAAGATTCAAATAAATGGTGTTGATATTGAAAGAGTCAGTGAAAATAAATTTCTGGTGGTAATAATAGATGAAAAACTTAACTGGAGAGCTCACGTAAAATATATTCATTCCAAAGTATCACGTAGCATTGCAGTACTAAACAAGGCAAAACAGGTATTCGACAGAACATCACTTCATATTCTATACTGTTCACTGGTTTCACCATACTTAAGCTATTGTGCAGAGGTCTGGGGCAATAACTATAAAACCACATTACATTCACTTTTTACTCTTCAAAAAAAAGCAATTCGAATCATCCACAATGCAGGTTATAGAGAACATACACACTCACTATTTTTGCAGTCTGAAATATTGAAAATTGACGATATAGTGAAATTCCAAACAGCACAAATTCTATTCAAAGCAAAAAATAAAGAACTGCCAGGTAATATTCAGAGTATGTTTTTTTTGAAAGAAGGAAGTTATAATTTAAGGGGTTTTTGTAACTTCAAAACAATGAAGGTACGTACTACAAGAAAAGGCTTTTGTGTTTCTGTTCATGGAGTGAAACTATGGAACAAATCTGAATATGGAATTAAAGCAATGTCCAAACATAAAACTGTTCAAAAAGAGTTATAAAAATATGATCTTCTCGATCTATAAAGAAAAGGAAAATATTTAAATTAAGTGAATGTCTCTATTTAAAAACAAACAAACAAACAAAAAATTCATGATGTGATATTATAGTATATAGTATATCAGAAATCTGTTCACTATTTTTATTACAAATTATATCAGTAAGGAAGCTGACTAAATATTCACTGATAATTTATGGCAAAGGGGTGGGATTAAATAAGTGTATACTTCTTCCCACTCCCTTTCAACATGTAAATTAATCAGAATGTTTTTTGTATGTAATTTGTATAGTATTTTTTTCTCTCTTATTTTCTTTTCTAAATGTACTTGTATATTGTTCACATGTTGAAATAAATTACCAATCAATCAATCAATCAATCAAACCACCTAAACTTCAAGCAAGCACCGAGTGCGCAACGACGTAATGGGAAATTGACAGAGAAACTCGTGGTTCTCTAGCATATCGAGACTATCTCTCCACACCGTTACATATTCCATATGTATGGGGGTACGACCCCCCTGGTCGTGGCGTGTGGATATTTCTTTAAGACACTCCGGCACGCCCGGCTACGCCCCACAGCTACGTATAAAACAGCTGTGCAGACATGACACCGGTGATCGTTGATCTCCACTTGTTGTGTGTGCGTGTGAAGGAGTGCTTACCTTGAGAGTACTGTGTGTGCGCGTCTATTGGAGCGTGCTTCGGCATCCTCCGTGGGCGATGTATTTCTCCCTTCTAGGTTCCCTGGTAGCCCCGGTATCCCTTAGCTTGCTTCCCCTTGGTTGGTCCCCCTTCCCCGGCATATCGCCTCGAAAACAAAGCAGGCTTATGCGCTGGTCGGACCATGCTGTGCAGCTGCCGGCTAGCGAGTAGCTCGGCTACAGTGTGGAAACACGGCAGGGACACGGCTTCTGCGTTCAAGCTTACGCTGTCGCCTTGGCACTGTGCAGCTCGGCTGCTACGTGTTAACACAGAGGGGATACGGCTTCAGCATTCAAGCATACGCTGTCGTCTTTGCACTGTGCTGCTCGGCTGCTAAGTGTGTTAACACAGAGGGGATACCACTTCAGCGTTCCAAACGTTCGCTGTTGGCCTGCTTAACACTGTGGAAATAAACAGTGGGGAATTATGCTACGGTTCATGCCCGCTATCGTTAGCCGGCCTGCGAGTAGCATTCCGGCCGGTTGGCCTGTCTGGCGTGTTGCCCGCAGCTCGCGGGTTAACGCGGCCAGCAGGGCTCCACTCGTAGCTCGGCTACATTGGGGAAATGTGTCAGAGTTCCAAGCATATGCTTTTACCTGTCAGCACTGTGACACAGGAGCTAATAAACAGTGGAAGGGGAGTTCAGGTTACGGCTAGCGCCGGCTACCTGTTAGCACTTCCTGGTTAGCGTGTGGCCCCGCCTTGCTTGGTAGCAGAAGTATGGCAGCCCGCACGTCCCAAACATGTCTGTGTATGGTATGTTTTCCTTTATGGTGGGCATGTATGGAAAGCCAGGACTGCCATAATGAATTAATTAAATACACCATTAAATAATTAATTAAATGTGGCAATAATTAATTAAAATTGGAATTAATTAAAATAAATAGTTATGACACA